CTGCCCTACAGCCATTCCCACTGCACCAGAAAGCTTTATTATGCTGCATCGTTTATGTACAGAGGAATGTAACTAAGAATATAATTCCAGTCCTTGAAAATGAGAAATGAGACCCTGCAATGAACTATAGCCTCCATGTCAATCCCCTGCAAATAATGGTGTGCATAACTCTGGGCTCCAGGAAGAAGCACGACACAGAGGCCCAACTCCTGTTGGCATCCATCAGGGATGGCAGGGGCAGCAGATCTGGTTAGACAAGGCAGCTTCTCCACACAGCCAGGTAGGAAAGCAGGTCTGCAGCCTCTGGTGGAGAAGTAGGGACAGGCCAAGGGGAATGGCTTTAACCTGCCCGAGGGGAGACTGAGCTGAGCTCTTAGGCAGAAGCTCTTCCCTGTGAGGGTGCTGAGGCGCTGGCACAGGGTGCCCAGAGAAGCTGTGGCTGCCCCATCCCTGGCAGTGTTCAAGGCCAGGCTGGACACAGGGGCTTGGAGCAAGCTGCTCCAGTGGAAGGGGTCCCTGCCCGTGGCAGGTGTTGGAGCTGGAGGGGCTTTAAGCTCCTTTCCAGCACAAACCAGGCTGTGATGGTGATGAGGAGGAGAGAGGGTGAGGTTAGACAAAGCAGTCAGAACCCTGGAGACACTGCACTACTTCTGGGGACACCAGGTTTTACTTACAAGATATTCAAATTTAAAGAGGAAATTAAGAGGAGATTCCCACAGTAATGCTCCAAGGGGGTTCACTGGTGGACATGTAATGAGACCAAGAGATGCCTCCAGGCATTTACACTGCTGTACACATAGCTGCTGTTTTTAATGAGACAGGAGATCCATGCAGCAAACCATCCTCATCCTTTCCATGCCTCCTGTCTCCTCCATCCCTCTACCCCTCCACAGACTGCCAGGAGCTAGAGGGATAAGAGGAATAAATGGTCCAGGTAATAATAACTGCACAGGGAAAGAGGAAATCAAGCTGAAATAAAGTAGTGGGTTTACCTCTGTACAGTGCGGGTTAGACTCTTGCAAGGCTATTACACCTCGTTCCACTGTTCACATTTCAGGATGATTCAGCTATTCCTTGAGAGAGAATCAAATATTATCTAGGAAGCCTTACAGAAGTTAAGCGTGTGATGCTCAAATCATCTGCAGAGAAAGATGAAGAGGTGATTTGTTACGTTGTGCGGGTCCTTACTCATAAGAAAGATACTTGATAGTAAGGGGGATGCTCATTTTTGCAGACAAAACCATAATGATTTCTGAAAGCTGAATTTAGTGGAAGGCAATTTTGAGCTAAGATGCTATTTCCCAGCAGCGAGGGGGTATTTAGCTGCTGAAAGTGTTGTCCAGATGTGGCAGCCTGAGCGTTGTCTGGAATTGCAAGGATGAGACCAGGCAGCTTTATAGAACATATATTGTATTCAGGCTCCTGGGAAACTTTACAGCCTGTGACTGAGCTCAGACTGAATTACCCTTAGTGACCTCTCCGGCCATATACTGCACAAATACTTTGGTATGGTTGAATTTCATTCGTACCAAATTCCGTGCTCCATAACCACGGTTCCATGTAGAGGCGCCAGGGGGAGGTTTTCACTTGTTTGCCTTTAGAACATACAGTTTTATCAAAATTAAAGTATTTGACAGAATTATATAGATTTGGGAGTTTAACATGGCAGGAAAAACCTGCAGCAAGAGAGGTGAGACTGAGGGCTGGCCCGTGGCTACCCGAAAACAAAGAGGAAAGGGAAAGAGCTGGAGCTGCAGGAGGAAACCCAGGGCTGGGAGCCTGAGCATTAGGGAAAACAGGCTGCTTGTTGTGAGGACACTTGCAATGGAGGTGAGTGATGAAGAGTGAATAAAACCTTATGTAAGGGAAGGCAAAGGAGGACAAGGAGAGCACTTGCATCAAGCACAAAGAGTAGACCGTGTTGGTCTTTGCATTGGAAATGAAATCTTGTTCATTTATGGGAGCGGAATGAAACCCCACTACTTCAGCTCTAGAGTCCTGCCTGGGACAGGGCAGTCAGTCTGTTTTGTCTGGAAGTTTGTGTCTTGGGAGATTTGATTACAGTTGGTTGTATGATGCGCCAGATCCCCACGCTGCTCTGCTCACAGGACCTACAGTGGTTGAGCTGAGGGACCAGCAGGCCAGCAGCTCCTCATTCCCACTGGAATCAATGGTATTAATTAATGTTACTAATTGACTGGAACAGGCTGCCTAGGGAAGTGGTGCATTCATCATCCCTGGAGGTCTTTAAATGCATGTCGATGTGTCACTGAGGGACATTGGTTAGTGGTGGAGTTGGCACTGCTGGGTTAACGGTTGGACTTGATCTTAAAGGCGTTTTCCCACCTAAATGATTCTATGAGTATCATGTTTCTCATCTGTTGTTGTCATTGGCACTAATTAAATCAGTTTACTGAATGCTGAGTGGGCATTTCACCCCTTACTTCCTGGTGATGGATGCAGGGAAGAGGCTGGGCTAAACCTCACCCTAACCCTGGCACAGCCTGAGCACCAGGAGACCTCTTTAACTTGCTTTAGTTTGTAGTGGTTACCCAGGCACTCCCGTGACAGCACAGAGGGCTCCAGCCTCATCCTCTGTGTTTGGTGACAAGTTTAAGGCAAATAACCATCACCGGGATAAGCAGCAGTAGGTGTCAGGTGTGAGAAATCCCTCCATGGGACCGCTTCAGTAAGGCCAGGACATGAGCAAATCTCTCTTTTTCTCCCTTCAAAGGCACAGAACCTTGAATAAGCAGTTTAATGCAGTTGGAAATCTTACACCATCGCATTTACTTAATCTAGAACATATTTTCACAGTTTCAAATAGAAACTGCATCAGCCAATTGTATATCTTTACTTGTGGGAAGAACTGGTTTTAGTGATTTGATTCCTTGACTTTGTGGCAGTACATTCATTCATGAAGGATAAAGAAATAAGTGGCTCAGAAGCAGGCAGATACTTTTGTAATACCATAGACTGAATAAAACCACTGCATATGCCCCATCCCTCGTGATACCCTGCTCTCAGACGGAGCTCTGCATTTCAGAGGGAGTGATCCCTCGCCAGGTGTCTGTGGGAAGCAGATTCATTGCTCATTCTCTGTACACATAAATAAGAATAATAAGAATTCCTCTCAGTGTTTTGTCTGTTGCCAAGAAGAAATCCTAATGATATTTAGCTTGGGCTGGGATGGGGGAGTGGGAAAGACTGGCATCAACAACGCCCCATTTCAGTGCATGGGAATCCCATGTCAGGTTGTAGCTGTGGTGGGGGGGACACGACACTGGTGGGTGCTCACCATCTCCTTTAGGACAGAAGAGACTTCTGCAGGAGGAAGGTCAGTAGCAGGCTCATTTTAGGGATCCACAAAGAAGTACAATTAATAAATTATCCCTTTGCATGGAAGTAACTCTTCTGAATGTGTCTGTTGCTAAAAATGGTCTGTAGTGACTGCGTGCTCTTCCAGGTCAGCAAGAGAGGTAGGGAGGAGTGGATTGCCACCTTTGTGAGTTGGACTATGACAAATTCAGTGTTATATCTCTTGAGTGCGATCCTGCTTGAACTTGAAAGGTGGGTGATGCTGACCTTCATCACTTCAGGAAGTGGGCAGGTTCAGCCTTCCCCAGACCAGTTTCACCTGAAGATGGTGTTTTTCTGCTCATTAAAAACACTCTACATAAACTTTCAGTTTTCTTTGCTCACAAGTGCACAGGCACAAGCAAGCACTGGGAATTCCCAGCATTTGAAGTCTGTCTGACCCCAGCTCATTCCTACAACTGAAATAGTTCCAGCTGATGGACCAGGGAAAGGGCTGGAGAACATCTGCAGGTGGATCCCAGAGCACACAAAACCAGGCTGTGCATGAGACGAAGTAGTTTCACAGTACCTTGAGGGGACGTTAGCAACATATTCCAGGTTGCAGAGGTGGGATCAGATGGTGGCATTTTGCTGTGCAAATGGAGCAAGCCGGTAGGACAAGGCTGGGGCATTCAGGAGAGTGAAGCTCCACTTGGACAGAGGCTTTGGTTAGGAAGATCATAACCATTTTCTTGCCCTCATTTTGTGGGTAGCCATTTACCTTGTGGAGCCCTGGGATTTTACAGCAGTTGTTACAGAAGGTTCTGAAACCTTCTGTAGGTTCCCACATGTAGGATCTGTGTCTTTTACAGCTATTTGTATAGGATCTGTTCTTTATCTTGTAGAGAGGAGTGCTTTTCAGAAACGTCAATAGCGTGTGCCTATACCAACCATAATAAGACATGTAAAGAAATATATACTTCTTCAGAAAGATTCGTCTGAAACCCTGAATTCCCACCTTCACCGCTGGCATCCTGAGTTCTTTCACTCCCCATGCAACATTACAAAGAGTAGAGCAGTCCCTTAAGGGTAGGACATTTTTTCCATCATTTTCCATCCATTTGGAACTCTTTTATGCCCAGATGTATAAATAGTGCAGAGTACGAACTTTAGTGAAGAGTTCTGCTGAGGTAATGGAAGAAAATCTGGCTTGTGTTTTCTTTGCCATGTTGCTACTGCAAGCTTAAAAGCAATACAAAGCAGCAGAAACGAATGTACGTTAGTGTTCTGTGAAGAGCTGAGACTCTCCAGGAACACAGGGGGTAGATGTGACAGGCATCACTATTTTTAAAAGCACACGAAAAAACTAATTTCCTCTTCTTTTCAAACTGTGACAAGCGAGCTCAGCCTTCTCTTAGACAGGAGCATCCAGCAGCAGCAGCTCCCTAGGAACTCAGTAGCAATACCTGCTTGGCACCAACAGAGGAATTGCTGCTTTGTAGCTTTCTGGATCCATACCTGAGCCGCTGTGCACATGATGGGAATAGCTCTGGTTGCACCTAAACAAGGCTTTAGCATAGTTATATTTCAAGAACCACACATGGTTTCGGCAGTGCGGGTACCCCGGCTCTCCTCTCCATGCTCTGGTGGGATTGTGCCATCTCAGCAGCTTTCCATTACAGCATTTTCTTGTTTCCTTCCAGTTTCCCCGAAGATATACCGCATTTCAAGTGACATCGTTGTGAACGAAGGGAGCAACGTTACCCTGGTGTGCCTGGCCACGGGGAAGCCAGAGCCTTCCATTTCCTGGAGACACATCTCTCCATCAGGTAAGCACAGCTCTCTGTATCCCGGAGCTGCCTCAGCATCTCACCAGTAACAGGTTTGGGGCTCTTGATTCCCAGAAGTGTAGGAGCATCGCTTTGTACACCTTACGCAGTGTGTGCCTACCTTGGCTGTCAGAACTGAAACCTTCTTCAGATGACAGCTGAGACCAGTGAAAACTGTAAAAGTACTGAAACATAGGGATGGAGAAAGTGATGAGCTCTTAGGCAGAAGCTCTTCCCTGTGAGGGTGCTGAGGCGCTGGCACAGGGTGCCCAGAGAAGCTGTGGCTGCCCCATCCCTGGCAGTGCTCAAGGGCAGGTTGGACACAGGGGCTTGGAGCAAGCTGCTCAATGGAAGGGGTCCCTGCCCGTGGCAGGGGTTGGAGCTGGAGGAGCTTTAAGGTCCCTTCCAACCCAAACCAGGCTGGGGTTCTGGGATTCTATGAAATAAAGGCACCCACGATATGATTATATTTTTAAGCTCATTTGAACAGGCTGCAGACGTTTATCAAATAATTGCCATTAAAACCAAAGCAGAAAATAGTCCAGAAAACACAGGGCTCTCCAGAAGTAGGTGTGAAAGTTAAAAACATTAAGTCATCATGCAGTAGATTTAATTTAATGTAAGTACCACTGAACCATTATTCCATGATACAGTGCAGTTTATTAGAGTGGCTTTATTGAACAAATTAAATTATATGTATGAAAAATCGCAAGCAAAATGGCACCTAAAAGCAGAGTTTCTATTTAATGTTCCCATTTATACTTTTAATTTCTCATAATGTATTTAAAGGCAAACTTTCATCTAACATTAAAGGCATCTCTACAAATATGACTTGGTGCAGAGCCACCAGCACTGCTCTATGCAAGCAAAACAGGTTCTGCCTGGCTCTGGGGGGGGGGGAGATCCAGCCCCGTATCTCAGGGCTACTGGCATGGGAATCCTGGAGGGCTTTGTGTTTGTAAAGGATACCCCCTGTGTCCAGCTGGCTGCAGTCAGTGAGCCTGGTATTGCACCGGCTCTTCTGTAGGGACTCCCCAGTGGTAACTGGTTTTGCAGTGAAGGTCTTTGTGCTGTGCCCACAGCTCTGATGGAATCCATGTAATTGCGGGGAAGAACAGCTTCACGGATGGTCACAGCTTCCTGCAGCCTCTCGTAATCCTGAGTAATGGTTTGCTTTACAAAGCAAGGTCTAGGGAAAAAAAAACCAAAACAACTTTTGACCTTTAAGACAACGACAGTGAATTCTGCTTGAAGTGTCCATCAGGGGACACAGGGAAAAATTCACTTGGAGCAGAAAATGGATTTTAACTAAATGTCAAATAAAATTTTATTGGAAACCGTGGTGATACTTTAGAGTAATAGCTTAAAGCATTAGGTTGTCTACAGAAAGGAGCTGTAACAGTCATCCTGGAGAGGGAAAAAAGGAGAGAAGGAGGATTAGAGCGCTCAGGCTGGAGAAGGGGTCTGAGAAGGAATTAGACCCTCCTCGTCTCAAGCTCAGTCAATAACCACAAGGGCTTTTAGTGAATCAGTGAGTTTGTATCTTCACCAAAGGACTGAGAATGGGGGCTGAGAGGAAATACGGGATCACTCGGCTACAGATCAATTACATTAGCCCCAGTGAGACTTGCAAATGAAATGTGAGGAGGGCACTAATCAAAGATGGGTATCAAAAGGCCTGCAGGGAGAGGCCGAGGGGAATGGCTTTAACCTGCCCGAGGGGAGACTGAGCTGAGCTCTTAGGCAGAAGCTCTTCCCTGTGAGGGTGCTGAGGCGCTGGCACAGGGTGCCCAGAGAAGCTGTGGCTGCCCCATCCCTGGCAGTGTTCAAGGCCAGGTTGGACACAGGGGCTTGGAGCAAGCTGCTCTAGTGGAAGGGGTCCCTGCCCGTGGCAGGGGTTGGAGCTGGAGGAGCTTTAGGGGCTCTTCCAACCCAAACCAGTGTGGGACTCTACATCAGCCTAATAGCATTCGTTTGTTCTCCAAAGCCCTAAACCCCACTTTGTCCATCTCCAAGCCTCCATTTCTTTATCTGCTCACGGGTGAACTGTTCTCTGCTATAATGGATTAGCTGGATCTGTCTGCTGCATTGGAGCAAACGCTCCTTCAGCTGAGTCTGGCAGGACAACAGGCAGGAAGGGCAAGGCCAAGCTGAGATGCTTTGACAAGCCTCAGTGCTAAGGCCTGGGGAAGTCACTGCAAATGCTGCATTATGGGGCTGCATCATTACAAAACCCTATTTTCCTGAGCGGTGAGTGTAGTGCAGCCGCTGCAGGGCACTGGGGTGTGCCTTGGGTGTCCCCTGCTTGATTAATGGCCTGAACTCTGTCCAGAGCAGGAGAACGCAGGATCCAACTAACTTTTTGCTCAAAAAATCCTGTACAGTGTGATGGAAGGAAACGCAGTTTACAGAATGTTCTGTCTCTTAAATAAAGAGGAATTTTCCCATTTAGGTCACGCTGCACCAGTGTCATGCTCAGGCGTATATTCTGCTGTGCAGACAGTTATAAATGGCATTCAAATCCAAGTAAATATCAGTGTGGCAAACAAGAAGCCTGGATTTATTAGAAAACAAAATGCAAGAGAGTTGAAATGCCCTGATTTCTGGGACGATTTATATTCTGTCTGCAGCAAATTACCTTTATCTAAACACAAGCTTCATCTGCGCTTGATAATTTCTACCATTTTCCTCCTGTCACTCCCATCGGCACTAATGAGGGTTACATGCAAGCATCACATCTAGAATGCACCACTAAATCATATTAACGAATCGCAGTTAGAATATTCTGAAGCTGTTTGTCAATGCTGCTACTAGAAGATAAGAAACTGAAATCTGTGAATACAAATGATTCAATGTTGACTAATTCCAAAGTATTATCATGGTTTGCATCAGTGCAGCCTTTACGTGCATTAGGTTGGGCTCAATTTTTTTGAACAAGAGAAGGTCTCTTCCAACCCAAACTATGATTCTATGATAAAGTGATCCTTTCCATAGGAATAAAACCAGAATGTATTTAGAGGTGATTTTTAACTGGGTACCTAAATTGTTGGCCTGGAATCTTTATTGTGCATGTTGAACTTGCAGTCATTATGTAAACGCTTTCATTATATAAGTATTCATTATACAAACCCATTATGTAAATCTACAAAAATCCACACATTCAGCTCAACACCGTCAGGAACGCGGGGCTGTAGTTTGTAATCTGAAATCTCCTATTGTTGAAATGTCACCCGAATAAATTGTAGGTATTACTTATTTTGTTCTGACATTTAAGAGCAAAGAGCAGCATCAATAGTTTAAGAATGAAAGCAGAATTTTAAAGGATTAAAGTCTGCCTGAAAGAGGACTCCTCAAACTCCTCTATGTGCATGCAGCTCGTGCATGTGCGCTGCGATGAGGATGCTGGAACACGAGTGCAGCCAGGAGCAGGGACAGCAAAAGCCATTCAGAAAAGTTTTGGTAATATTACTGCTTTGTAACGTTCGGGTGCTGTCTGTCAGAACTCTTTTCCTCTTTGGTTTTGACAATATTCCCAAAGGAGAGTTGCCCCATCCACAGAGGGACCCGTGACCAGACACTCAGGTGATGGCCTACTCAGACTGCTGAGCTGAACATGGGCCAGCAGCAGCAGCTCCCACCACCTGAAGCTTGCTAAGAAAGCCTGAAGTGTCCTGTGTTTAGCTGAATGCAACACAAGTTAAATTCCATCATTTCACAAAGTCCAATGGAAAAAGCAATATTTTTTTCTATTCAACTCCCTTAAAACAAAATGTCGCTTAGAATCATGGAATGAGTCATGTTAGAAGGGAGCTTAAAGCTCATCCAGCTCCAACCCCTGCCACAGGCAGGGACCCCTTCCACTAGAGCAGCTTGCTCCAAGCCCCTGTGTCCAACCTGGCCTTGAACACTGCCAGGGATGGGGCAGGCACAGCTTCTCTGGGCACCCTGTGCCAGCGCCTCAGCACTGGGAAAGAACAGCTCAAGGAAGAACTTCTTCCCCATATCTAACCAAAACCTCCCCTGTTTCAGTCTGAACCCATCACCCCTTGTCCTGTCACTGCAGTCCCTCATGAAGAGTCCCTCCCCAGCATCGTTGTAGCCCCCTTGAGTTACTGGAAGCTGCTCTGAGGTCTCCATGCAGTTTCTCTTCTCTAGGCTCTCTTCATATGGGAAGTGCTCCAAGCCCCTGATCATCCTCATGGCCTGCTCTGGACTTGCTCCGACAGCTCCATGTCTTTCTTATGTTGGGAACACCAGAACTGCACACATGCTCCAAGTACCATACTATATAATGGTATTTCAGTCACCTCCTGGAACTACATGAGCTGCAAGGTCATTCCCAACCCAAACCATTCTCGGCTTCTGTGATTCCTTCAGCCTTGTTTCCAGGGAATGGTGACACTGAATAGTTTCCAAAATAACCCAATAGTCACCCCCAAAACCCCTGTAGGAACTGTTCAGCACATGCTAAATAACAGATTTTTCACTGGGGAAAGCTACACTTACCCAGTCATGAGCCTGACTTCAGGTTTGAACACCCCTCCTTCTCCAGCACATTTCATTTGCTGCCAGGGCATGTGTGCACGAGTGTGATATGACTGAACGTAATGTAATGCCCATCCTATTGTTTCTGGACAGCCCTAAAGCTGTGAAGATGTATTGCATTAATGTATCATCATAGCCATGTCGCCCTGACTATATATTAGTGTAATACATCTTCAGAGCACTCAAATGATAGGGCTGTCGGGGAAGAATGAGTCTCGGACCCCATTCAATTCAATTACAGGACAAAAGGCAATGCTCATCCGTGAGCAGAGGTGGCTCCTGCACAACCCTTCCTGAAGCACGCGGCTACAGAAAGCTGATGCTGCAAAGGGAGAAGCGAAGAGCCTTTTTTAACCTTCTTGCTAAACCCTAATGCACAAACAAAGCTTGATATGAGCAAGCGAACGTCAAATATTTTGCTCCACTTGCACTTCTGCTGGAGAAGCACCGTTCTT